GTCACACCTCGTGCATTCGCCGTCTGACGTGATATATATATATATATATATATATATATATATATATATGTACACATTGTGTATATACATGTTGCGTTTAAGCACTGTCACTGGCCAAGGGCCTTTTCATAAATAAAGTATACTGTGTAATCCGACATCTGACTAATTAGTACATGTATTTTGTATACAACCTTCAATATACATTCATTTGATGCTAAACTAGGATTAATTAACAATGATCCAATAACTGTTCATGCTTGGTGCAACACGAGGGTGCTATGATGCCGAGTTTTGTTTCAGATGCACACATTGTTATAACATCTGAACAGTGAACGTTGTGCGAGAATTTGTTTTATTTAACAGTTTTTCAGAAACTGTGTGCGAACAAAATGCTGCCTAATATCTGAACGTCAAAAATATATAAATAGATTTGTATGCACATGTATAACGTTACACATTCATTAGGAAAAATAACTTGCCATAAATAAAGAATATAGATTTTCCTCTATGACGCCAGCGTTCGTTTTCAAACCAGATTTATTTCGCTTATTTACATTAAAACCGTTTATATTTGTGACAAAGACAAGTTGTAAGTTGATGCCGAAGTGTACGAGTAATTCAGGGATGTATGTATCGCAGCTGTGTGTGAAATATTAGTGATGTCATAGGCGTCCCATAACCGGCATACGTGAAACATGACTTTGTAAACACTATCCAATATGCCGCAAAGTTCACTTCGGCGTTCGTGTTTGCTTATTTTCCAAAACATTTTAAACAATTCTAGGGTTAATAAAAACTGGCATATATATATATATATGTGTGACGTCAGACGGTGCACGAGGAGTGATGTAATACATTGTGCATCTCAGCATGGTTCACTCCCAAAACTTCTACATGCCAAAACGTCTACATGCCAAAACATCTACAGAGAGTTGTCATGGCTGACTGAGTTTACCTATTGTTATAATGGTATAGTCAAAAATCGCACAGTTAGACTTTGGTGCCGCCCCACCCAGCAGGAAGCGAGTTTACAGAGACTGAAAATCGCCTGAGACGTCTTATGGACATGTTGACTCAAGGACAGAAAACCCTTATCGAGTTCCTTGATGCTGTTGGTCATCTTCTCAAACTTGGTTAAGAGAATTGAAATATAATAGTTTTAGTGCTGTATGTGACAGAGTGAGGCCAGTTCTGACATTAAATTAGTGTGTGTACTATTTATTTATACCAGTGCTAACATTAAGTTAGTAAGTAGTCTAGTGCAAAAAGTTTGTGTACCATTTATTTATACCAGTGTTATATGAGTAAATTGTCTTCATTGTCTTCAAATTGTTTTGTTTTGTTGTATGTTGTACACTTAATTAATTGGACTGTTCCAATCAATGCCCAACAGGTAATAGCCAGGAGATTAGTGGTGCAGTGGACCATAAACTTTGTTGTTTTAAGCTGTAGAAGTTTTGGCATGTAGAAGTTTTGGGAGGACACCCTCAGCATACATGTAGTTATCGTATACATAGCGGAACAAGCCGATTAAACTCAGAATGTTTTACAAATTGCAGCGCCATCTGGCGTTCTTTCTTTTATAACCGGCGTCTGTTTGTTTTGTATTTTGATCTTTATTAGTAACATTTAGTTTTTTATTCGTAATATTTGACCTATGTTGTGTACTTTTGTCCTTTTTTTCCAACTTTGTATTTTTTGCCCATAGAAATCATCTTAAAATTTATAAGATACATTAGCGAGACTTAGCTCCTTGAAAGATTGTATTATTGACATATGAAATGTCAATGAGTAAACAATAAGTGCAATATAAAGACAGATAAAACAAAAATGTCCCCATACTAAATGAACTACACATTGAGGTTTATTGGTTTCACAGACTCTTGGAATGCTGTAGATGCATATCTTATGGATGATTGAAATATCATAAGCTAGTATTAATTGATTCATGTGACACAATTTTTTATAGCTCGTCTTAAGATTACATGGCATGCAAGCATCAGTGCCGAAACATTTGAGTCTACTGGCCCCAATATGGCTCTCAGCAACATTTTAAGTGGAGTTCCGTGTTGAGCTTACTTTCTGGTCCATCACTTGATTGTCTGATTTGTTGATTGCTGCTGTCCTGTGGCAGAGTACTGCTGTGTTGCATCAGGCAAACAAACAAACACTTACCATTTTATGCAAATTGTGTGAGTGGCCAGCACTACTGGTATAGCAGGACATGCTTACACTTTTCGCAAACAACTGGTATCATCATTGATTTGCAGTGATCCAGTCATAGAATTTTCTCTACTATTTTGCCTTATATGCCCATGGTATCTGTTTGGACAGTTAATCGAGACTGATTATGATCAGGCGTTGAGATCAAGAGCCTACAGCACATTTTGAGAGAATAAAGAGGATGGTCAAGCAAAGGTCCAAATTTAAAATATTGCAAAAAAATAATAGCTGAATTTCAAGTTTCGACTGTTTTCATTCTGACATCTTTATAATGCTTTACAATTGTATAATAATCTGTCTAATGTCAATTTACAGTCAAAACTATCAAGAAATCCCCAAGAGGACATAAGCTGTCATCACATATGCAGACTGCTATTTTGTTCTGCAGCCCTTGGAAACCCAAGTATATTTGGCTTTCTTTTTTCAGCCTCGAAAGTAAACAGTGATTTGATTGTTCGCCATTTTCCATTTTTCTTACAGGATGTAATGTGTATGTAAATTATTAACAAAGAGGGATTTCATTGGCTAAAGTGTATACAGCAAAAATTGGCAATATGATGTGTCCATAAGCAAGATGCCAACATGAATATTATGGGAAATGAAAGTAATTTTTATTAATCATATAATAGGTAGGTTTCTTTGCAGGATAAAGCCAACGATATAAAAACGGTATACATTGGGGTCATATATACGGATACAGATGCAAATATGAATAGTCAGGTAGGTACTTCTTTCAGTGCTTACAAACAAACATGGCGTCGCCCTTGTCAATAGTTTTGTTTTAAGCATCAGGTATCTGGACAAACTACTGGGATAAATGTTATAGTCTACAGTTTAATTCCAACAATTGTTTAAAATACTGAAGATTAGTGTATAACTGGAAAGAAGCTGAAACATTTTACAAGTTTGGCGACTTTGGAGATATATTTATGAAACAATTAAGGGAGGACACTAGTCTAGCGGGCTCAGTTTCCATATCTGTTCTTGTAGACCTCTGTGGCTTAAATATGTGACCTTTCCCCCCATTTAAAACAGTTGGCCGAAATATGTCCGAAATTGTTGCCTTGTTTCATTTTGTCGCTGTGTGTACGTCTGACTTTGCCTGTGCTGTCATAACATTGCGAAGAACAGACTCATAGACTAGGGTTAGAGTGGCATTCCTTTGATACAGAGAAGTTACAACTGACGAAGATAACATAAGTTCACTTTGACAAAGAAAGGGTTAACTAATATGTTTAACAATGGAAATTCTTATTTCCACCTGCCCAAGCTCACTGGTTTTGCCATAAAGTATGAACGATAAAAAGTTTAGCCTTAGTAACTTTTTCCAACATGTCACAGCTGTAATTTGACAATATGAACAATTATGCTGTAGCAACTACTCGTTTCACCAAAAAGATCCTTATTTCCTGCATAATTACCGACTCTCAGGAAGTGTTTGAAATAAGTGGTATGAACTGTTACATCAATAACATCATTACATTTCACCCCCAATAACCATATTTCAATCCATATCTCTGAGCTATAATATATGGCACAAATATGTGAAATGTGACCATCAAAGATTTGTAAAACCAGCTGACAATTCATATGCAATCATTGTAGTGAAATAATTCGTACATCTGTACACCAGCCCAAAGTCTATAGCAATTTTCAGTAAAAATTCCCAAATGGGAACTAAAAATGTCCTGTTTCATGTAAATATTTTTATAACTAATATGATGGGATGGTCGTGATTTGTGAATTGTATTCCACTGATAACATGAAAATGAGGAACAGGTTTAATTTTAATATTGCATTGAATGCAATGTCACATTGCTATGCTAAAAAACCTCTGGAAATATGAAAGTAAGAACTTTAAAAAAATCCCAATTTTGAGAAAAATAACAATTCTTTTCCAAATTTGCTTGCCAAGGGCACTGAGTTTGGACTCTGGGGTAAATCCCTGGTATATGACTGCCCTTGATGGTTGAATTGCAACATGTTTACACATATCAACATAAAACTAGATAAATACATCATAATGTAACAACTTTTGCAACTATTCCACCCTGTCCAGAACATTTGTCTACAACATATATTACTTGCCATTGGATGCCTGTCACAGCATAGGAAAAAATACAATTTAATATCATCTGCAAAAAGTTAATAAATATCTGGACTTAATATACATCCCTGTTTGACACCAGTTAAAGTAAAGACGAAAACAGGGTTTACCACCAGAATGTGAAGAATCTACCTTACCCTTCAATGTTTACCCTTCATGTTTACCCTTCATGTTTACCCTTCGTGTTTACTTATTAGAGACAGATATCAATTTCCAGCTAAGCTTGCAACTGTGTAAAAATGACCTATTTTGAAAAATTGCAATATGATGATCGTTTGTTAAACAATTTTTTTATTCGGGTATTTCGGTATTTTTCAAACCATCAGAGCTGGTCTGTCCAATTCATGTCGCTGTGCACATTTTGGTTTTGTTGCAATTATTAGATTTTGAGTTAGTGAGCCATTCAACGGTCTCACATCGAATCAAACGGACTGTAGTTGGTGCATGCTTTTTTGCAATATACCTTGTAGTTACAGTGAACGTTCATGGACTGGGGAATCTGCCATGTTGTAATATGCAGAGGCCTGCCATATCTAGTCTACTGTCTGGACAGTTGTCAGCTGACTGTCTCGTTTTCAAAGAGACTGCAGTTCGAGAAGTTGGTCAGAAGCGAGATTTCGAGGATTTGTTCAGATTATGCTGGTTGTCATATTTGCCACTGTGTACTTACCGTTACGTTGAACTTCGATGATGAAACTCCAAAGATCAGCCTCTCGTAACCGACCATCTTTTCCGATAATCCATTACCTGTTCTCCGAAAATACAACTCCGCAACAACGTTCCTGTACTGCTGCGACCTTCGTTATTTTTAGACTTCTAGTACTTTCCAACTTTCGAATTAATTTGCAAAGCAGTTAGTTCCCTTTATCTCTTTAATAAACCGGTAGTGGTGTTTGCAGTGCGCGAACGCTTAGGGACATTCAGCCAAAAATCATCCCCAAACTTCTACATACCAAAACTAAAAATATAAACTCATTGGTCCTCTGCACAGCTATTCCATTGCATGTTACCTTGGCGTAGTTATACGTAATATATCTCACCGTTACCATCGTTAAAGTTATCAATACACACACTTAAATTACACATGCCTTGAATGTTACAGTCCATAATCTTGTCTAATCCCTTGTTTAAGTAACGATTTGATGCTACTGTTGTCACTGCCTCACCTAATCGGTATCTCCTTAATCCGTCCTTAAAGAATCTACCTCAATGGCTTGTCGTAGTCTCAGAAAGAATACTTACCATTACTACTAATAATTTGGTTGGTTTGTTGTTTATCGCCGCACTCAATGTTTCCAGCTATATGACGGCGGTCTGTAAATAATCGAGTCTGGACCAGACAATCCAGTGATTAGTATCATGAGCATCGATCCGTGCAATTGGGATCGATGACATGCATCAACCAAGTCAGTGAGCCTGACCACCCGATCCCGTTAGTCGTCTCTTACGACAAGCATAGTCGCCTTTCACGGCAAGCATGGGTTGCTGAATACCTATTCCTCCCCGAATCTTCACGGATCTTACCACAAATAAAATCTAGCTAGATCTATCTGATTGCGTCTTGTATCTTGAGCCGTGCGAACATCATGACGTCACGGTACAGTTACGGTGTCTATAGTTGCCGAAAACCAGGTTGTTTTCTGCTAACCTAATATGACATCGTATACGGCAAGTAAAGACACCATAACAAATTTATTACGCCGAAAAGTTTCCGCTATTTGTATAACCGACAGGATCAGTACATGTTTTCGATACAACGTCTTAATGTAAACACAAAAGGGAACAATGGAGTGCAGAGGAGATATTTCCCACCCCGTCACTCGACGAGAGAAACAGGGTATTTCACTGGACACATGAAATATCTTCTATGTGCAATTTGATGCTGTCCTACTGTAGAGTAGATACTGCTCTTTAGCGTTCAAAACACGGTAGGTTTATCTCCATTCTTCCATAACGGCAACAGCGCTATGTAAACGGTGCTCTCTGGTAACGCACTATATGCACAGGGAACAAAGTCCGCCATTTTTTAACATTCCGGAAAGGGCTCACATGTAGATATATACTAGCCACATAAGGAAACTGTGCACGGAGAAAATATAGATGTAAGGGCACACCGTCCACATATGAAATATAGGTTTGAACACAGCAATTATTGGAGACATTCAAACGCTCATGCACGTGCCATACGATATGACGCCATTGATGGGGGCCTATGGACGTGCAATGTGTTACTGCACGTGCATCCTGTGCAGCTGTACACAGCATGTGCAACTCAAAATTCGCTGTCACTTTGGAAAGCATGATCTGTGGCCATTCAAAAATTCAAAACATCTCAGGCGCAGACACAAGCATATCACAAGCAAATCATGCCAAGATTGACAGCTGCACAGCCTCATGAAGCCATTGGAATGATCCGAGCAGGAATGAGGCAACAACAGGTGGCAACACATTTCCAATGCCATCGTAACACGATATCGGCATTGGTGAGGCGTTATCAGAACACAAATGACGTTGCCGACCACCCACGTTCAGGACGTCCCCGAATAACGACGCCAAGACAGGACAGATGGATTCGAGTTACACATCTCCGACACAGGTTGCAAACGGCAGTAACGACGTCCCAGACAATTCCTGGACTGCGCCGTATCCATCCCAACACTGTCAGGAATCGTTTACGTCAATACGGGATTCGACCACGACGCCCTGTCATACGTCCCATCCTGACACACCGTCATCGCGTCAACCGTCTAAGATGGTGTCGAAATCATGTTCACCAACCTCAAATATGGTGAAGAAATGTTGTCTTTACAGATGAATCGAGGTTCAACATTTCCCACAGTGACGGGCGCCAACGTGTCAACAGGCACGTGGGAGAACGTTATGCACGCAACTGTATTGTGGAGAGGAATCGTTTTGGAGGTGGCTCTGTGATGATTTGGGGTGGGATAACAGCACGGCACCGAACCCCTTTGGTGGTTGTTCAGGGCAATCTCACCGGTGTTGGCTACAGAGATCAGATTCTGAGGCCTGTGGTCATTCCTTTCCTGCAACGTCATGGCCCGGGAATGACATTTCAACAGGACAACGCTCGTCCTCACACGGCTAGGGGCGCAATGGATTTCCTTCACCGTAACAATGTCATGTTACTGCCATGGCCTGCAAATCCTCCAGATCTCTCCCCAATAGAGCATGTGTGGGATGAAATGGAGCGCTGTCTGCGTCGTCTTCCACATCCTCCAGATAACGTCCGTGACTTGGCACAGGATTTGAGGAGGATATCGCAGGCCATTCCCCAGGCCTTCCATACCCATTTGGTGGACTCCATGCGTCGCCGATGCACTGCTGTGATTCACGCACAGGGTGTCATACCCGTTATTGACTTTGTGACTTTGTCATTTGACCCCCGACTCCATTTTGATCTTCTGACGTCATCGTAACATATGTTGTTCAGGTCCCGTTGACATTTTCTAATGGTCCGATCATTCAGCTGCTACAGCGTCTGCATCATTTTGTTCTTGCTGTGTTGTATTTCAATCCAGAATATATTTTCTCCGTGCACAGTTTCTTTATGTGGCTAGTATCCATGGAACAAATATTACTTAAGTTCAACATTAAATAACCCATGGTCCTAAGTAGTTCAACATAAGTGTTCAAAACACACAGTTGTTTTTTTTCCAAAAGAAGGTGATAAATAACCCTCCAAACCTAGCTCAATGTCCAATAAACACCGAAAAAATAATCTGTAGCTAATGAACATCTTCGGTCTCCATTGTAGTATACCTGCCCATTGAGCTCGTGCGGGTACTTTCACAGACATCTGCTTCTTGGTTCATTGTCTCGGGGGGATAATACCCGAGAAGATCAGAGTGAGAATTAGTCTTCGACAACCCATACCATTCGAAATAGGCGACTAACGGGACGGATTGTCAGTCTCTCTGGCCTGTTTCATGCATGTCATCATATCCAAATTGCGTTAATCGATGCTCATGATATCAATCACTGGATTGTCTGGTTCAGACTCGATTATTTTCAGACCGCCGTCATATAGCTGGAATATTGCTGAGTGCCGTGTTAAACAAACAGAAAAACTTGAGTAAATTAAAGTTCTGTTCTGCTCTGTATTTTCATACCAGTTGTCACTCCATTATAATAAATAAGTGAGACTTCTAAAATGTGTGAACAAAAAATATTTCATTATGTTACAATCAATGTTTAACATCGACACTTATCACGCTAAAAAAACATAGATACAACGAGGGGCGATGGGGTAGCCTGGTGGTCAAAGCATTTTGCTCGTCACGCCGAAGACCCAGGTTCGATTCCCCACATGGGTACAATGCGTGAAGCCCATTTCAACCAGCTTCTGGGGGTGGCCACCCCCCATCCCGAGTTTTCAACATCTTGTGATATTTGCTATGCGCATTGCCAACAATAACATGTTGATTTGGTTCTTAAGGTAAAATGAAATAATGATTTACAAATAGTGTTTGTGATTTTTTAGGTAGGTCTTTGTTTGGACTCCTCCCAAAAGGAAATACCACTTTATAACGTCACTGTTCATCGTATTTAAAGCAGACACGTTGGTTAAAGTAGACCTCTTCTCCCTATACTCTCGACAGTCACACAGTTCGCTCCGACTTGGCCCGGGCTGTCAAAATCAACTTTAAACAGACAGATGTATCTTCAAATGTGATTACCTCTATAGATTAGTGTTATATCTACATATACACCACTTTATAATGTCACAGATCGCAGTATTTATAGAAAACAAGGGGCTCAAAGTGAAGCCCTTTTCTCTCTACATTCTCAACATAGTCTCTATCAGAAGTGTTTGGCTTGTGTTGGGTCCGACTTGGCCCGGGCGGTCAAAATCAACTTTAAACGCACAGATGTATCTTCAAATGTGATTAAATCTATAGATTAGTGTTATATCTACCTAGACACCACTTTATAATGTCCAGGTGTATCGCATTTAAAGAAATCTGCGCCGTTAAAGTGAAGCATTTTTACTGTATTTTCTTTAAAAAATCCAAGTCAGAAATGTTCGGTCCGACCTGGCCCGGGCTGTTAAAATCAACTTAAACCTCACAGATGTATCTTCAAATGTGATTAAATCTATAGACCAGTGTTATGTCTTATATCTACCTATACACCAATTTATAATGTCACAGATCGCAGTATTTATAGAAAACAAGGGGCTCAAAGTGAAGCCCTTTTCTCTCTACATTCTCAACATAGTCTCTATCAGAAGTGTTTGGCCTGTGTTTGGTCCGACTTGGCCCGGGCGGTCATAATCAACTTTAAACGCACAGATGTATCTTCAAATGCGAATAAATCTATAGATTAGTGTTATATCTACCTATACACCAATTTATAATGTCACAGATCGCAGTATTTATAGAAAACAAGGGGCTCAAAGTGAAGCCCTTTTCTCTCTACATTCTCAACATAGTCTCTATCAGAAGTGTTTGGCCTGTGTTTGGTCCGACTTGGCCCGGGCGGTCATAATCAACTTTAAACGCACAGATGTATCTTCAAATGTGATGAAATCTATAGATTAGTGTTATATCTACCTATACACCAATTTATAATGTCACAGATCGCAGTATTTATAGAAAACAAGGGGCTCAAAGTGAAGCCCTTTTCTCTCTACATTCTCAACATAGTCTCTATCAGAAGTGTTTGGCTTGTGTTGGGTCCGACTTGGCCCGGGCGGTCAAAATCAACTTTAAACACACAGATGTATCTTCAAATGTGCTTAAATCTATAGATTAGTATAATATCTACCTAGACACAACTTT